TCTGATTTTCTCTCTAGGTAGGAAAAAGGAGATTTGATTAATAAAATGTGCCTTTTCTATAAATACTTTTATGCCAACTGTTTGGAAGAGTAAGTTATAAAATAATAGTAATAATGAACAGTATATTGATTCAGAGTGTTTAGATAAAAAAAAGCAACAATAATAAAATGAAAAGAATTAGTCATAAAATAGTAATATTCACAGAATATCTTATAGCTTAGATTTAGGTTCTGCCCATCATTTTTCTTCTGAATGTGTTTAATGAAGTAGACATGATTCACCACAGAAAAGTAAAAAATTGTTTTTCTTCTGAGCGTTATGAAATATTGATTAGGTTATAAAAAGAACAGGTAGTTGATGTTTCATTTAGGTTACTAAGAGCTTGTCATTCTAAAGTAAGATTAGCTTTGAAAACTGATTCTATATAACTTCCACTTTATGGTAAGCATTCTGAATATAATGGCACAAGAATCAGGCAGGAGTCATCTAAGTGAAAGACAGCTGGTGTTCTATTTGAACCCCTGAAGATTCAATAAATCAATAGAAGCTAACCTTGGAAGTGGTTTCCAAATGATGGCAACCATCACGATAAAAGCCTGGATTTATCACATATATTGTCAGTCAGATGACTCAAAATTACAGAAGCAGATCCTTGAAATTACTGCTTAAATTTTATAATTTGACATTAAATTAAATGATAAAGAATTCATGGAAAACAACAATATTTGATAAAATCAGTTTTTAGAAACAAAAAGCTATGAATTTATTCTTAAAATTTTAACACCTGACATATAAGTTTATCTCTTTTAATTCTTGCCAGCATTTTTTTTAATCATTTCACTCCAAGCAAGGCAATAATAACACTAGGACACAAGGGATGACAAGAGATGAGGAAACTTTAGTGAGAAATAAGGAGAAAGGACAATAAAAGAATAGATTTCAGAAGACGGCAATTGGCATTGCATTTAAATTTTTGAAGATTGTAGGTGCCTGAAAGGTAAGAAATTGGAATAGTTCCACAGGTAAGAAATACAAGAAAAGAAACTATCATAATAGAATATATGGACCTGATAAGTTCTTTAAGAACGTATGTGATCATGGTTTCTTTCTTTTATTTTTTTCACTACTTTTCTCTGTTTTCTTGCCTTCAGTGCTCCTTGTGAGTATTAGATTCACCAGGTTTTCCTTTCTCGTTATTTCTTTTTCTCATATTCTTTCACACTCAGTAATCTCTTGCATCTTAGTGGCTTTATTGACTTACTTGGGATGAAATGGTTCCAAAAAATTAAGCATACTATTCAGAAAGCAAAATGGACAGCATCTGGCCCACAGTCTGCAGTTTGCCCATAACTGCTTTAAATGATTGTCTGACACACCCTTTTTTTAAAACCCCTTTTTTATTGCATATTGATAAAATTTGGTTCCCCCATTATTACCCTGCCTCATTATTCCATTATCGTTATTTCAGAGTGTGGATATAATGGAAGATATTTTTTATTTCCAGACTCATACTGTTTGCCCTACAAGCTGAAATGTATATTTATTCCACGTGTTGGGATAAAAAGTAAACAAAAAATAGGAAGTAATAAGATAATAAAAACAAAACTGCTTCCTACATAAATTTCCAAAAACATATTTCCTCTAATAATTAAAATGAATTAATTGTGACAGAAGTCAAAATCTGTTTGTTTTTTTTTTTTTTTTTTTCACACTGATTAATATTTTAAAGATGGTATATTTTTATGTAATGTCCCTTCCGGATGTAGACAATCATGACTCTCTATTTCTTTATTATCTGTGAATTATTGGGAAAGATAGTGGAGTGTTTCACAATCCATTTTCCACAGTTTGGAATTCAGGGTTTTCTTTCTCGTAGACTGGCTAGAATACTGTTATATTCCATGCTAATAGGAATATATACTTGAAAAACAAGGTGGATAAAATAAGTAAAGGTTTATTGTAAAAACCAATACAATAAGAATAAAGGTAACAGTTATGCACAAAGTCATCGTAAGTCAATCCAGTAGTGAGTGCTATTGGAAGGTTGGTAGTTCTTGAGTAAGTCTGAATTGTACTCAACAGATCCCAGTTAGACTTACAAATACTTATAGGTAGTTACTAACTATAGTGTAGTAACTCAGGTGGGTGGCAGGTTATTCCATTACATCAAGTACCCAGTCTACTTTTGGTCAACTTATACCTAGGGAGAGAAAAAGATGAGTAAATGTCTTTCCTAAGGGTAAAGGTAAAAGCAACAGACTTAGGCTGGAATCTGAATTCAGCTCACCAATTCCATATTCTATGTCCATATCCATTATATAACCAACACCTGATGATATAAAATGAAGAAACAAAATTTTCATAAAAATATGGAGATTTATCAAATTACATTTTTACAGTTGAATAATCCAAGACTTGGCTGTGATAAAAAATATGCAAAAGGCTATCAAATAAGAAAAAAAGAAAATGGAAAAAATACAGATTCTGTCATTTTTATCATTTATTTTTGTCAATTTGGGGAATAAGTTCTGTGTAACATTTTTTATGATTTAGATATTTTGAAAGTATTTTTTCTTTCTCTTTTATATATACATAAAAATACATATCCTTTTAAACACACTCATAAAAATACATATATAAATTAATGTAAGTATAAAAAAGGAAACTGAGTTCAATATCATCGGCAAATAAAACTAAGGGTTGAAAAGAGAAATGATTTTAAACAGGTGTTAAAATATATCAAAACAAATAATAAAAAAAAAATTTCCTAGGTAGGTGTTGATCTGGCAACCGGCTCCCTGAATAAGGGCAACTATATTTTTTCTGAATATATGTTGGCTTAAAAGGTACCTTTTAAAATTTTAAATCTGTGATACTTTTGTATCCTTTTTTTATGAATAAAATATGATCCCTTTTAAAAAATCATATATATACATATATATATATGTGTGTGTGTGTGTGTGTGTGTGTGTCTGTGTGTGTACAGTGTATACATAAAGTCTCTTTTACAATTTAAAAATTATTACAAAAGTAAATGAACAAATATGATGAAATTGTTATAAAATGAGGCGTAGATATTGAAGTTTTTTTTTAACTAATTTAATACACCTCCATGTAGGCACCATTAGCACAAAGCACATCAAAATGCTATTCTATTTCTTGCCATGTTCATTGTTACATAGACTCATCAATGGTTTATAATTTGGCTCAAGTGCCTGTAAGAGTTGCACTTTGTAAACATATAATCACAAGTTCTTGTGTACGACATTTTGTACTGTTGAAAGTGGCAGCTGTAACTGTCTGGCAGCAATACGGATGGACTTTGTAGGTGAACGCTGAAAGGTTTGTCTTACACAATCAATGTTTTCCTCAGATGTTCTTGGTTGTCCACTCCTCCATGTCCCTGCCTCCATAAATTTCTTGTGTCATGTATAAATTGATGGATATGACAGTAGATGTGTCTTTTAGTGAGGAGTAGCCATTTTAGGGGTCCATTTAACAGTATCTTTTTATCAAAGTATACCTGAAATACACAAATGCAATGTGATTAAAACCTTTGATAAATACTCAGTAAATAGAACAAATCTGATTAAAATATCACATCAATTGCCTTTGTAATATATTCTTTAAATAGTAAAGAGAATTTATGGGACACTCTATATATATATATATATATATATATATATATACAGGTTAACTCTGAGAAAATTTACACTTTTCACATATATATATATATATATATATATATATATATATATGTGAAAAATAAATATAAATAAATATATATATGTATAATTATTTATATATTATATGCATGGTACTTATTAGAAAGCGCTCAATATCAGAGATAGAGCTAACAGAGTTTGTCTGACAGTCGCTAAAGCGTGAAACACAAGGTCACAAACTCACATCTATCCAACCAAATATATACATATATATATATATATATATATATATATATGTATATAATAGTGGACAGTGAATGCTAGTGGTAATAAAACTGCTTGGTGCAAAATAACAGGTAAAATTTATGCTAAGAACAATTATATATTTTTTCCTCACTAAGTTGCATGAATATCAATATATATATATATATATATATATATATATATATATATATATATATATATATATATATATACATACATATATATACATACATACATGAAACTCTGAGTAGCATTGAGGTGAGGAACAAATATATAATTATCATTATTAATGTGTGTGTGTGTGTGTGTGTGTGTGTGTATATATATTTATTTGTTTTCCTTACCAATAGCATGATTTTGAATTTCATTGACAGCACAATCTTCAGGTACTGAATTGAGACTGATTGAATATATATCAACTTATTTTAATGGTGGAACAGTCCATGGAGATTGGTATAAAAAAAAATTTGTATTTAAAATAAGCATAAATATAAGGGAAAAAAACACACACATCCACAACACACAGATTACTTAATTCAAGTGACAAAGGTAGGACTATAATTTGAATATAAATATAAACATTTAAGTAATCATAAAAAAATATATAATACAGAGTTACTCAGTGTATATATATATATATATATATATATTTCAGTGCATATATATATATATATATATATATATATAATATTTGCATACATAAGCAGCATATACAGACACAGAAATGTATGTTTTCATATGCTTAAACAAACATATAAACACTTTCCACCCATTTATGACTCATATATACATTTTCATATATATTATGAATGTATGTTGTATATTAATAAAAGTATTTGCATTTTTATTTTTATATATATTTTTTTGATATATGTATATCACTTGGATATGAAAACATGCTTGAATATATACATACATACATACATATATATATATATATATATATATATATATATATATATATATATATATATATATATATATATATATATATATGTAATTATGTCTATATAACACATTTTAGCATTTACACTCATGTACCTATATTTTGAAATTCTCTAACTTGTGCATATGAAAGCATTTGCACATACACACAGAAACACATCTTTTCATTCTACCTCTCATTCTATCACTGTTTCCTTCTATCTCTCTTTCATTTTACCCCTTTTTCATTCCATCCCTTTTCCACTCTCTCTTTCATTTTACCCCTTTTTCATTCCATCCCTTTTCCACTCTCTCTTTCATTTTACCCCTTTTTCATTCCATCCCTTTTCCACTCTCTCTTTCATTTTACCCCTTTTACATTCCATCCCTTTTCCACTCTCTCTTTCATTTTACCCCTTTTTCATTCCATCCCTTTTCCACTCTCTCTTTTGTTCTATCTTTCATTGTATCTTATTTTCATTCTATCCCTATTTCATTCTATTGCTCTTTCATTCTAACCCATTTTATTCTATTCTTCTTTTATTGTATTTGTTTCCTTCTGCCCCTATTTCATTCTCTCTCTACTTCATTCTTTTTTCTTTCTTTCATTCTCTTTCTCCTTCTCACTCCTCTTTTATTCTATCCATTTTTTATTGTATCTCTTTCACTCTATCTCTATTCCATTCTCTCTCCTTCACTCTCTCTCTCTCTCATTCTACCTTCTTTCATTCTTTCTTACTCTACCCTTCTTTCATTCTATGCCTATTCCATTCTATCCCTCTTTTATTGCATCTATTTCATTCTATTTCTCTTTCACTGTATCTCTTTTATTCTGTCCCTCTTTCATTCATTATATCTTGTCCAGTCTCTCTCAATTACTATTGATTCAACTCACTTCATTTGAGCCTCACATTTGACAATTTTGTTTCAGTTGATCCACTCAGAGTGAACAGAACTTGACCACATGTATCTGATCAGAATATAAGTGGAGTTAATAAATAAATAACATGCATTTTCTCCTCTTATTCAACAGCATCTGCCAGCCCATAATCTATTTAGATGGAAGAAGAATGTATGAATAAATGAAGAGAGAGGAAATTATCAGTCATAGGGGGTGGGTTTAGAGTGGAGTGTTTGCTTTTTCATCTATTACTCATTATAGTCACATGACTGCTTTCTAATAATCCTCAACATCTTACATTAAAATACTTTTAATCCAGTCCAGCATTTTTTTCAATTGCTTTCATTTGTAAACATAAACTGTGTAGGGTAATTAAAAATATTCCACAGTTCTCTTTATTGTACCATCAATTTATTTTTATGTACATTTTTTAAGTTTTTATTAAAATCTTGTTTAATGATATTATACAATTTGGCTGAGATTTGTTAATTAGTAGTTTAATCCTAACTAAGTACTCCACAGTAGTCATCTTGTGCCAGATTAAGTTAAGCTTTGTAGCATTAATTAGATTATAATTCTATATAATGGCTGTTAAAATAAAATAAGAAAAAATAGAAAATACTGAATGTTAATAAACTCAAGATATGAGTAATTTTATTTTTAATAACCCTTAATCATACAAATAATTATATTTATAATTATTAATAAGTTATCTATAGTTAATTAACATCAAGTAATAACAGATGTAGGTTGTTTAGTGGATAATGATGTAGAGAATTCATTCGGTAAACCATGTCCAAACTCTGGCTAGGAAAGTTGCACTAATGTGCTTTGAAAAGGAATAACTCTACTTCTTCCATCTATGGCTAAATAATAAGACAGAATTCCTTGTAACACAATCCATCTTGAGTGTCAGGTTAGTAACCCTGCCCTATAAAAATTCATTTGCTACTTATTTTGGTATGGTTATAGAAAGGAGTCTACCACAATAAATAAGCAAACCAAGTAATATTTACAAAAGTTAAAAGTCATTTGGTCATTTATAGTAAAATTACTTCAATCATTACCAAGACAATATATTAGTAATAGCAAAGGTACATTGGGATAATGCCTTCCAAAAGCTAATCAAAATATTAAGAAACAAAAAAAATTGTTAGAAATAAAGAAACAAATACTGGACTGTTATTCCTCCGATATAGCAGTGAATGCTGGACAATTGCCTCATATATAAAGAAGCAACAAAAATATGATTCTACAGAAGGATGCTGAGAATACCATGCACTGAACATGTGATCCACAATGATTTTTTAGAGAAAATGGAGACAAAAAAGATACTTGTACTTAACAGGAAGAGATAGTTGAAATTTTTAGAGTACATAATGAGGAAAGAGAACTTGGAAAGTTTGATACTCACAAGACAGATTGAAGATAACAGGGTTAGAAGAAAACAATGCATGACCTGCATAGTGAACTTGAGTAAATGGATGGCTGAGCAAGTTTTAGAAGAGCTAAAAAAGATAAGATCTATTAAAGACTACAAAGGACAGGAAATTGTAGAGAGTCATGACTACCAACAACCTGAAATGACACAGCATATAGAAGAAGGACATTGAATAAAAATAAAGCTGACCTTATTTCAAGGAAATGCTTGCGTGATAAATTCAAGTAAAGAAATTAAATGTAATGACAATCATTATTAATAGAATTTTCTTTTTTTCATATTCTCTCACACTCAGTAACCCCCTTGTATCTTAGCTTTATTGCCTTGCTTGGAATTAAATGATTTAAAAAAAAAACATTGAGATCAGGCTGTTAAGGTATTTACTACTTTCTATATATCCAGATAAATAATCAAGTATAAACAGAATAATAACTATGATTCACATCCAGTTAACATGTCTAGTGAAATGTATTTGTGAATCAGAAAGAGATTTTGATAAAAGTAGTGTAACATTCATATCTCATGCCTCTGTTGTTCTCTTATCCTTTGCTTGTATCTTCTCATTCTCTCCCTTATCCTTTCCAATTCAACTAATATTTATCTCATGCCTGTGATTTTCTCTCATCCTTTGCCTGTATCTTTTCATTTTCTCCCTTACTCCTTTCAATGCAACTAATATCATTCATTATCTCATGCCTCTGTTGTTCACTTATCCTTTGCTTGTATCTTCTCATTTTATCTCTTATCTTTTTCAATCTTTATTGCCTGTTTATGTTTTTATCTACATGCAATGCAAACATGTATTCATTTCATATGTAAAATAAGAATAAAAAATGCACAAATATTTTATACTGAACCCTTTCTTTTATCTTTTTCTCTATCTCTCCATAAATCATTTTAATGTATCACAATTTTACACCTTTCCATTTCTACCTGCCTTTCAATCTTTCACTCTTAATATCCAGCCATCAAGACAGCCTATCTTTCTTTTATCTTCATCCTATCTCTATATATTTATTTTTCCTTTCAACTACTTTTCTTGAATTGTCTTATTTTCTACCTTTCCTACTTCACAAACACCATCTCTCTCTCTCTCTCTTTCTCTCTCTTCCACTTCTCCCTCTTCTTTCTCTTTTATATAGCTTTTTTATAAAGTATAACTGATTGTAGAATAACCTGAAACTGAACAGATACTACACTTTGATAGAAAAGTATGTCAAGTATATGAACATGCAAAATAATAGTATAAATTAGATTTATATGCTTTGAATTAATAAATACGTTCGACTTGTCCAACAATTTGAAATTTTAATTTAAATGCCAATCATTTGCTTTTATTGGTCTTTCTTTAGCTCACTTCAAAATATAAAATTTCAAGATGTTAAGGAAGTGAATTAATCCCTTCAGCACCAATGCTATTTTAGCTGACATATTTTTTAATACTAAAATTAAAAATGAGGCCTGAGAGTCACTTAAGGTAGGTGGTTAATGTTAAAGTGGTTATGATGAATGAGGTTTGATATGAGTGAAAGAGGAGGTGCTAGAAATTGAAGGTTATGAAGAATATAGGATTGATAATGATTGACGCTTAACTTGAAGAGGTTAAGATTGTAGTGTATAGGGTTAATGTTAAAGTGGTTATTATGAATGAGGCGTGGTATGAGAGAAAAAAGAGCTACTAGAAATCAGAGGTTATGAGCATATGTAGAATAAACAATGATTGACCCTTGACTTGAAGATGTTAAGATTATAGTGGGAAGCATCCACATGGGAGTTTGTTTGACAAAGTAGCATTTCTTGGGAAAAAGTTGAAACTTTCTTATTACATTTGGAATATGGTAGAAATGTGGGTGATTCAATTCTGTGGCAGTAACATGGTATATATTAGCAGTAAAGGTTTGAACTGATGAAGCTAAAGAAATAGTATTGCAGGAAAGTAAATATTGGTTGCTATATAAAGGACAAAATGAACATTTCAAAAAGGAGCTTTTAATAATTAATAACATTTGGCAAGTAACAAGCACAGTAGTAAAAACTTTAATGTATTTTGTCACTAAATGTGTTTAAATAAAATATAAATGTGGAGGTTTATAATTTACAAGCATTTAAAGTTTTAACCCATTTTGAAAATTTTTATAACAAAAAGAAAACATAATTTAATGGATTGGTTCAGACTAATTTCTTCATCATTATTATTAGGATTTTTTTATTATTCAACAACTTTTCAGGCTTTCCTGGGATCTGTTGTGTTGAACAATCATATACAATAATTAAAACACACACCTACCAAATTTATGCAGGAATGGAAAATGTTTCTTCTTCTAAATTACTAATAAATTATGTACATATTAGTTGAAGCAAAATAATCTTTATTTATTTACATTCAGACTGATATCCTCATAATGTTATTATCATTTTATGCTTTCCAGCCTTCTTCAGATGATAGAACTAATCTTTGGTTTGGTTAAACTAAACACTTTATTTAATCTATGGAAGTATATTGTTCTCACTCCACTATCTATATCTAGGGATATCTTGTCTTGATCTTATTTAGTATTGCTCTGTTATTACTCACTATATTCCCACTGAACCTAAGTCTGTACTATCTGGCCCAGGGATTGAATTCAAATTCACAAACCACTATTTTAATTCTCTCAGCCTATTATTCCATGGGACAATCCTAAATCTAGAACTTGGAGACTTAAACTTAATGTTCTTTCCTGCCTGCTGCTGCAGTCATACATGACTGCATAAACCACAGCCTGTTTCCCTTGGTTCAGTATGATGCTGAGCAATCAGAGAAAACAAACAGTAATAAAATAAAATTATTTGATTTGGTTTTCTGCTAATTATATGCTCTAAATGAGCAGAGTAGCTAGTGTTGATAACCAGACTTCCAGAAACAAGAGGGATATGAGTTCAAATGACTCCAAGAGTTTATTGTTTATTTCAAATCTTAACTGTTCACTGACCATATCATCTCAAAAGTTGCAATAACACAACTTATTAAGATGAAGGAAATACTAGTCAAAAATTAATAATGGTTCATTTTCTGTTTTTTTCCCTTGACAATAACACATCTCACTGTCAAGTTTTTTCTTTAATGTTTTATTTTCTTTCTATTTATCCATTGTAATTTACTTCTCATAAAAAATTGTTATTTACATTTTGATTATGATGACAGCTTTCATTTTAAAGGGAATGTTTTCTCTTCTAAGTTTCAGTTTGCTTTAATATCTACAAGTGAAATCCAAAAAAACATTTGTCTCATCACTTTTCAAGGTGGGTGGGGCCTACTCTCATTCTCTTTAAGAAGAAACAAGAAACATAAGCAACTCATCAGAGATTTTTAAAAAAATTCCTCAGATATAGAATCAAACAAGGACTTTCCAAAAATACCAAGAAACAAAAAATAAAGAAAATTGAATTTTGAAGCAAAAATAAAATGGTATTAAAAATTCTACATTTGTCAGCAGAAGAATGTCCACAGTTTTCTATTTAGAAATGAGATATGAACAGCTGGCATTCTTAAAATAATAATAA